GAAACACGAGAACTGGCTGCCACAATTGCTTCATCTGTATTATTTTTTAGTATAGCTAAGTCTAAAGCATGTAACCAAATATCCCACACATCTTTAGTTTTTGTACAATATTGAGCTCTTTCCTTGATAGTAAGCCTTTTCTTTTTGTTGTTTGGAACCAGAGCTCCTATTTGATTTTTTTTGAATAAGCACCGACGGAGAGCCTCTTTTACATCTTTACAAGCCTTCCAATCCAGTGAGGAGTGAAGAAATGGCTTTATCAACCAGGTGAACTATTAATAAAATATGCTCAGGATCGGTTTTATCAAAATGCTAATAAACTTGAAAATTCAAGGTAATTCGGAAGATTTTTAACACAGGTAGAAAAATGTTGATGTGAAATAAAAATCTATGAAGTGTATGCCCCTTTTTCTTCATGATTGCTATCAAAGATCTAGCGATCCTCTCATACTAATTAATTTGTGAATAAACAGATCGCCAAATCCAAAATTAGTTTTTATAGTATCTAAATTTGGTTTGTTAATAACGAGGAGTATATTATATAATGGGATAAGTTAATAAAAATTTGCAAATACTTATCTGACTAAAATTCGGGTAATTATACTGATTTGGATATTATATCCGTTTGCTCTTATCTAGCAAATAATCCTGGACAATGTAAAAATAGTATATAATCAAGTAAGAGTAAAAGAATAAGAAATTTTTTTTTTTATAAACCAGCTCAGCATATTCTATACTATGAGTCTTGAACTACTTAGCAAAAGAATCTTGCTAAAAAATACCCCAAACGATCAGAGTTATTAAAATCCTTAGAAATAAATATCCTAAAAAGTTATCCAAATTCTCTTGCAAACGATATTACAATACCAGAGCTAGAGAATTGTCATGAATGTAATGAAGAAATTTTTTTAAATTCGCCCAAAGCATTTACTATATTAGTGTGTGATCATACTCTCCATTATGACTGCCTTGAAAAAAGTAACAGAGATATGCAAAAAACTTGCCCCATTTGTTTCGTAGATAATGAAGGACCGGCATCAGCTAAAGTTCAGGATGTAGATATGACAGAGGCAGTGGAAGGTGAAAGCGAAGAAACCTCTAATCTAACAGAAGAGGTAAGAAAATTATCTGTAGACGATGGTAGAGCTATCTCCCAAAGTAAAACGAAATCTATGGAATCTGAAAAAGTGCAATGTTTAATAAAAGAACTGTCTATGTCTCACAAACCAATTGATGATAATGATAGTGAAAATAAAACCAGGAAATCAAAACCAAAAACTTTACTCCAGTTATATTATAATGCAAGCCGGGCAGAAAAATATGTAACTCGGCCTACCAAGAAGAAATTAGGTGTTGGTACCTGTTTGCTGAAAAATTTGAAGAAAGGGTTAAAGAAATTAAAAATGATAATAGTTAGATTTAATGATCAACAAGCTAGAGGTTAGTTTATGGCAAAATCACAACGAATATTCCAGGATTCACAAGAGAAAGTCTACGTAAAAAACAGCAAAAACTAGAAATATTTATAAGTTGTTTGGTGAAAGTTATGACCCTGAAACCAAAACAGTAGTTAAG